TTCTAACAAAAACTATCACAAAGGACTACAAAAACCACAACTATACACAAAGGCATTGCAACTTTACACAAAAAAAATACTTCTGGAGCTTGGGCAGCATGGTGAAACCCCAGTTTTTACACACACACACACACACACACACACACAAAGCTGGGCATGGTGGCAGGTATCTGTAGTCCCAGATACTCAGGAGGCCAAGGTGTGAGCCTGGGAAGTCAAGGCTGCAATGAGTCATGATCTGCACTCCAGCCTGGGTGACAGACTGAAACCCTGTCTGAAAAAAAAAAATCCTTTTGCAAGGACATCTGTCTAGCCACTACCTGTCTACCCTCAGACTGGCATTACCCTTGTTATTAATCTTTACAGCCAAGGACAATGACTTCAAAAACAATTATGTAATCCTCCTCATTTTTTTCCTTTAAAAATGTTTGTCTTCTTTACTGCCCTGAATATGCACACAGCTTACTATGACATGCATATTCCCATTGTAATGTTCTACTCTCTAAAGCAAACAATCTCTTTCTTTTAGAGAGCCACTCTGTCTGTTATTTAGGTTGACAGTGGTAATTTTACTCTTCTATTTCCCACAAAGAAAATTTTTAATCACCTCCACTCTATTCAAACCACTGATCCTCTTTAACCACTACCCCTGCAATTTGTACCATCAAGCAGATGGCCTTTTGCTTTTTATGAAAAAAAGACATCATGCAGTAAGTCCTTCAAACTTCTTGTTCCTGATTTATACACAGAGTACCTCTGGATTCATCCTAAAACTGCTCCCATAAACTTTATAAAGTTAATCAGGGAAAAAAGAAGGGGAGAAATGAAAATATACTAAGCTTTTGGCATGTTAAACATTAATTATTAGGTCAGCTCAGTCTCACCTGCCTCCTCATAGTTGTTTGGTACATACTGACCTAGAATTATGGACCCTGTTACAAGATTCTAATTCCCCTTACCTGCTCTATAGATAGCAACCTAAACATTGTGAAACATTAAGTTTTCACTTTGAGACATTCCTTCAGGTCCTGCGTACTTACGAAACTACTATGCCAACTGATCTGAAGGACCTCACTGACTCAGCTGGTCTGAGGGGCGCCACAAGACGCCAACACACCAAAGAATGCAGTTCCCACATCCTGATTTCATCCCCCTTGCCTTAACCAATCAACAATCCCAGTTTTCCAGCCCCTTACCTTCCATGATCCCTTTAAGAACTCCAGGCCCAGAACTCCTCAAAGAGATGGGTTTGAGGGTCTCCTCCCATTTCCCTGCTCAATGCCCTGCAGGAATTAACTCTTTCTCGGCCATATCCCTGCTGTCTGTGTAACTGGTCCGTTACTAGGCAGCAGTCCAGGAACCTCATGGTCCTATGGCAATCCTGGCCGTCCTTCCTGCCACACAGAAGGAGCTCTCCCTCTTTCATTCTAAAGTGAATCTCTTCTATTGTGCTTTGATTCTGTTTACTTCCACCTTGTTGAGAACTCGATAGTATTAATTATTCCTTCTCTCTTGTATATTCAACCTCTCCCTCTAAATAGATACATTCCAGCAATCTTTAAATCTCTGTGGGTTTTTCATATAATGAAAAGAAAGAACAAATATACTTGACCCCTCCTATAGGCTGAATTGTGTCTCTCCCCTCAAAAATATATCTGTTGAAGTCCTGACCCCAAGTACCTCAGATTGTAACCATATTTATTAGGAGAGAGGGTCTTTAAAGAGGTAATTAACCTAAAATAAGGCATTTAGGGTAGACCCTAATCCAATGACTGGTATCCTTATAAAGAGAGAAAATCTGAACACAGACACATACAGAGAGAAGAAAATGTGAAGACAAGGAGAAGATGGCCATTGTCAAGTCAAGGGGAGAGGCTGGAACACAGCCATCCCTCATGGCCCTCAAAGGAACCAATCCTGCTGACACCCTGATCTCAGAATTGCAAGAAAATAAATTTCTGTTGTTAAACCACCTAGTCTGCTACGGCAGCCCTTGCAAATGAATACAAACCCTCTTCCACTATTTACAGCCATTACTCCACTTCTCATCTTTTCTTCAGAGACAGATTTATCAACCACTTCTCTATACTCATTGCTTCCTTCACCACACACCTCCTTTTCATTCCTGGATTCACTCCACTGTTGCTCCTGGCCCTGCCACTCCATGCCCTGTGGTCACCAACGACCTCAATCTTCTGCTTTCTAATAGACATTTTAAGTCCTTTATTCAACCTTTCAGCAGCATTTGACAGGGCTGTAACTCCTTCCCTGAAATGCTTTCTTCCCTTGGCTTCCATGACAAAGAACTTGTCACATTTTTTCATCTACAGCCAGTCCTTCACTGCCGCCTTCTCAGGTGTATACTCCTCTACCTTGCAGCTAAATGTGAGAGCTTTTCAAAGCTTAGGTTAAAGCACTCTTCTTACAGCTCTCAACTTTCTCTTTGGGCAATTTTTATTCACATGAATGCTTTTAATTACCATTCACACACAGATGACAAACAAATACAACCCAGCCTGGACTTTGACATCTGAACTTGTTCTGGACTACCCTTCTACATCTTCTCTTGGAAGTCGCAAAGTCACCTCACACTTAACAACTCTGAAACCAAACTCATGATTCTCCACACTATTTTACATTCACAGTAATACCCAAATCTGGCCCAATGTTCCCTAGGTGGGCAACACCATTGTCTTGCAAGCAAAGACACCAAGTCTTGCAAGTAAGAAACATGATTCATCTCCAGTATCTTCTCACTCATCCTAATCCTACTCCTGTTACTCTCCTTCTTGGCACCTGGCATAGTTGCAATTTCACAACTCTTTGTGTCATCATGTAATTATGTACCATGAAGCAGGAACCTTATTTTTACTCACCATCACATTGCTGAGCCTAGGACAATGTTACACTATTGAAGACATTCAGCTTTTTTTTTGAATGAATGAACTAACATGTTATTAACAGAAGACTCATTATGTGCCAGGCACTAAACATTTTATAAAAATTATCTTAATTCTTGTAATGGTCCTATTAAGTAGGTATTATTGTTGTTGCTGTTGTTGTGATTACTGTTGTTGTCCTCTGCTTACTGAAGAGGAGACTATGACACAGAAACTAGCACGTTCTTTCTTCCCAAGGTCAAGCAGCTTGGAAGTGGTAGAAGAGGGTAGATTCAGATTACTTGGGTTCAGAATCTGATTTCTGTACTGCTCTGCTATTCTATCTTTGTGGTTTTCAAAGATAACCTCAAGCTAATTGGCTAAAACTTCCTGAATTTAAAACAAACTCTAACTTATGAATGGAGTCCATGGAAAAAGTCACATATAATTAACGTATGCTCAGAAATCTCCAGTTTATATGTGGTTATCATGTAATAACTTCTAAATCCTTTTGCCTGAAATTCAACATCTTCCATGATCCAACTCCTTCCTTCCTTTCAAATCCTTTTTTCCCATGACATTCTGATGCTCTAATTTGAGGAGTCATGAACTAGATCAATTGTCCAGGCCAATGCTGGCCCACCACTTGTATTTGTATAATAAATAAAAGTTTATTGGAGAATGGCCACACATGTTGGTTTAGACAATGTCTGTATCTGCTCTTGCACTATAATGCCAAAGCAAAGCAGCTACAGCTGCAAAAAGACTGTATGGTCCACAAAGTCTAAATGTCTGGAATTTTACAGAAGTTTGCTGGCAACTACACTAGACCTCTAAAGTAGAGTCTAGTTCAAAAGAAAGACATGTAATAATTACCACTGATTGAGAGCTGGGTTCTTTCCAAACACCAGCCTTTCAAAAGAGGTACTATTATTCCTGTTTCAATTAAGCAAAGAAGGAAAATGACGAAAAGAGGAAAGAAAGAAGACAGATCAAGCAAGGCTCAGGTAGGTGAAGCATCGTGAATAGTCACACAGCTAAGTGGAAGAACTGGGATTGAGATCACACTCTATGACTCAAAAAGGCCATCCACTTCCCACTGTGCCTACTGCTTCCTTTTTCCTCAACAGAACTTGGGGTTCCACGCTGCTATGATTTACTCACACTACTCTTCATCCTCCACAAAATTCCAATTCTTTCAAAATCTATCACTGCCTGGTGAATCAGATACATTCTAGAAGGACAATCTCAAATGTTACATCCCCCATGAAGTCTTCCCAGATTACCTGTAGCTGGAGAAATAATCCTACCTTTAAGTGCCCATAACCCCTCAGTCATGCCCTTGTGACCCTTAACATTTTCTCTCTTTAAACTTACTGATAATAAAAACCAAATCTACCTTTACAGCCTATAAAAAAAACTACCACAATGCCTTTGACAAAGCAAACACTTAATACACATTTATCTAATGAGTCAATGAATCTAGATTTAAAAATTAGGATGTTTCCAGTTTGTATTTTTAAATAAAATATTCAAAGATTTATTTTTTTATTCAACATAAAAATCCAGAATATAATCTAAATAACAGAAATGCCTTCCTTTAGTGTTGATTTTAGCCTACTTATAAAAATCAATTTTAAAAGAAATTAAAATTCCTATTAATTAAATATATTTAATATTTCCTATCAGTATTATAAAAATTTCAATATTAGGATCATTTGAATTATATGCATTACTTTGCTAGGATAGAAATACTCTTCACAATGCTTAAATTAAGCAAAAAACTAAGTTATTAGAAATTAAGAATGAATCAAATATCAATAATCAAATGTTATTTATTGCAAGAATACATTGATACAACTGATGTTTCCAGTGACCAGTTATTTTTGCAGTTCAGTCTGTTACACTAAGCTGAATGCTCAATATCATCACTGTAGAAATATAACTTTAATCCAAATACTATTTGTAAAACAATACATAATTTAAAACAGTTTTAGAAACCAGTTTCATATGTTCTAAGGTTCTCTATATAGTATATATAAGACTGAGTAAAGAGTCAGTCACATAGTTGAAACTATAAGGAATTAAAAAGAGTTAAATACATGCAAATCAGACACCTACCTGCATCACTTTCTGTTGAATCTCTTCTAACTGTGTGCGCTTGCTACGTTGCCTACAAACTTCCTGGTAGCGGGTATATTGCTCTCGGAGTGAATCTAATAATTTCATAACCTGTGGCTGTGCAAGCAGTTCATCATCCATAGGAGACCATGACACCCCTCCATCTGAGCCATTAAATCGACGCTGCTGTAATTCGGATAACAATTCATGCCCTTTACAAATAAAAGATAGTTGAAATTAATATCTGTAAAGAAATCCAATTCTCACTTCTCAATAGTCTCAATTCTCAAAACCTATCTGTCTACCTATATATCTACCAGGTTATAAATGCAATTTAAAAATTTATGTATCACAACAAATATGAAAACTGCATGTATTAATATGTATCTGTGTGTATGGGTGTGTAGATATATACTATGTAAACTAGATAGTATATTAAAATGCTATATATCATAAATATATACAACATAGAAATACTATACTACATATTTAAATATGGCATTCATATTTTTTCTATCAATCACATTTTTGTTATTGGTGAATTCATTACTCAGGATACTGTGCCAAACAATCTTATTTCCCTGTCAAGCAAAATTATACTGTGGGATTGCTCTCTGATGGTACTAATCCCAGCAATGTGTTGTAGGATTTCAGTATTAATCCATATTCTCAATCACAGCACTTAAAGAAAAAGGTGACAGTATAATGAATGATTAAAGGGAGAAAGTATTTATTACAAGTACAAAATAATATTTATATAATCTCTATAAAAATCTTCACAATATATTAACTGTGAATAATAATGGGCCATACTAGTGTTAGAAATGCAGTGAATGTGACTCAGTTTAGCAAACTCATGGAGAAAATCCACTCATACATGAGAAACTACAATTGCAGAATGTGTAACAACTAAAGCTATAGGTATTAAACAATTTTAAAAGTAAATAAGTTAAAAATTGTTTGACTAATATTCAGGCATCAAAATAATACACATATTTAAATTCTCTTCCTTATTTAGAACAATATCCTAAATTTAAATGGCTTTCAATATATAGCAACTGAACTTATATTATGGTTTGGAGGTATTTATAATTTCTAAAACAATCCTTGCTTTAAAAGTTAATACCATATAAAATTGGACCTAGTAGCATACAAAATTAAATTTAAAATACAAATTGTAAAAGCTTCTTAATTCAATGAATTAAAATTAAAAGCTTTCAAAATGTTAACTATATACATATATGGAATTAAGTTTTAAATCTACAGCAGTATTTTTACTGACAGTCTACTGTACCTTCTATATATATATATAATAATTCAGAGATTACAAGTATTTCTTTATTCTCTAACAAAATAAGATGTATATCATACTGGAAGAACTTAGGACACCTGAATCAATACAGCAAATGTATTCAGAATTTACTTCTTTATTATTTATTACATTTTATAATTGGAAAATAATAACTTTTAGAGGTTTGTGCAGTCTTTTTACATATATTCATAAAAGTTATGGATATCAGAATACATTTATTTTGACAACTGTCACCCTTAATATTTTTCTTGTGGATATTTTGATTAGAGAAGCAGGACAGCATAATGTTTGAAATCAAACTGCCTAGAAAATACTTTGAAATCAAACTACCTAGGTCCAAGTCCCAACTCTGGCATTTACTAGCTGTGTAACCTGCATGAGTTACTTAACCTTTTATGCTTCAGCTTTCCCATCCTCAATTTGGGATGACAACAGTACCTATTTCACAGGACCAAAATGAGTTAACATACGTAAAGTGCTCAGACAGTACATGGCACACAGTAGGATTAGAATTATGAGCTATTATTTAAAAAAACTGATTAGAAATAAAATTGGGGTATTTCCACTGGAAAAAATCACAATTTGGTTCTTCTAGAGTTTGTGAAACTGCTACTGGAGATATCTGGGTTGGAATGTACGTCTCAGGCAGCAGTGACAGGGCTTTGCAAGGTGGTAAGTGTTTTTACATCGATGATTGTAAAACAGTAGAGCTAGTGGCTTTGAATTTAGCAATGGAGAGCTTAATAGTTACTTGATCTCAGCAAATTATTTTCTATTTCTAAGTCTTAGCTTCCCCTAGTACAAAATAGAGAAAATAATACGAATTATCTCAAAGGCTTGTTAGAAGAGTGAAAAATGAAAATACATAAATACAATGTCTGGCCCTTAAGGAGTGTTCAATAATTCTCATAGCAACCCAGTGAAATAAAAATTTTTATGTTCATTTTACAGATAATAAAAAAAATCCAAATATTTTAAGGGAGAGATCATTAGGTTTTAAAAATATTATAAGGCTGGGGTTCCCCCCACTCCCACCCTGGGCCACACAGCAGGAGGTGAGTGGCAGGCCAGCAAACATTACTACCTGAGCTCTGCCACCTGTCAGATCAGCGGCAGCATCAGATTATCATAGCAGCACAAACCCTATAGTGAACTACACATGCAAGGGATTTAGGTTGCACGCTCCTTATAGGAATCTAATGCCTGATGATCTGAGGTGGAACAGTTTCATCCTGAAACCATCCCTCACCAAGTCCACAGAAAAACTGACTTTCATGAAACCAGTCCATGGTCCTGAAAAACTTCCCCTTGAGTTCCTTCCACAGGTATCACATTCATGCTGAATTAATGAACCAATCAATCCAATTGGTTTACTGGATTATTATCACAAATATTTTCTAAATCTTACCTGTCTGAAGAACTGTTTCAGGATCAACCGATGGAAGAAAGTTTAAATCCACAGACCTGGAAAACACCAAAGGAGTAATTTTCAAAAGGTATATTTCTATCAGTGTAACTTTTTTTGTTTGTTTGTTTCCTCCCCACCCATCTATCAGTGTAACTTTAAAAATTCCTTTAAATATATAAAATCAAAACAGGGCACAAAAATATGAAAATCTGAAGCATAACCATTCTACCATGCTAACTTCTCTCAAGCATAAGGAAGTCAATTAGGGAAAAGTAAATACTAGTAGCCAGAGAAATGCCAAAGTAATAAATAATAAAATATACTACTTGGAAAAATAGTTTATTGTTGTTAATCATAATATGATTTCAAATATATCAAAGAAGTCCATTTAGTATTTATCCAATGAATATGTTTCAAAATGAAGTTTGTCATATAGTAATCCAGAAATGTAACATTAAAAAATGCATGCAGCCATCCTCCAGTCAAAACTTTGTTTACCTACAGCAATCTTTGATAGCTGCGAATACTCTGTCTTACATTATTCCAAGGGTGGGTGGGTGGGTGGGTGGGTGTGTGTGTGTGTGTGTGTGTGTCTCCTTCCCTGTGTCCTAGCAGTTGTACTCTCTTCCCTATTTTAATCATACATCCTGTGCAGCTGGACATCTGCCTTTATTTTCCTAAACACATACAGGAAAGAGAATATAAAAGAAAGAAAGGGGACAAGGACCTTGCTGCTGTAACTGACCAGTCTTGTACCAAATTTTTTAGTTTTTATCAATTGATCTAGGCCCTCAGGTCTTGTGTAGCTAGATGCTTCCTGAGAACTGACATAAAGAAGGTTGAAGAAAAAAAAGAAGGTTGATAAAAATTTGCAAGAGGAGAGACTCTATTAACTGGGATCTGGGGTTTAAAAGAAACTAAGCAATAATGAGTTCCTTGAGGAGGAACTGGCAAATACAAGATTTTAATATTTCACATAGTTGTGCAAACCAGCACTTCCCAAAGTATTTGCCAAAACACTGAACAAGGTATGTTTTAAAGAAGCAATTAAATAGGTTTCTTTGGCACTGCTTCTTCAGAACCTGAAATCTGCAATATTCACAGTCATTCTCAAAGAAGGAAATATAGTCAACAGCATCAAACTCTTTGACCATGGACTCATTTTCTATAGGCACCAACATGGGATGTCTTTCCCGAGGAATACAACTAAGAAACATCAAACTTACTCTGATGGACTATTCAGAAAGCAAGGAAGTCCAGCTAATTTTCATCAAGTAGCTTGTGATATTTTCAATTCCTAAGCCAAAGCATATATGTGTGTGATATTTACAAACACACAATCATGTATTTACACATGCCAAATTTTATAATTTTACATTTTTATATGGCATCAGTAGGACAGAAACATTCCTAACTGCTTGTGGCGACTTTAATCAGATTTACATTCAAACCATTTGTTTTCACATTTTGACTTTGTTTTAATCAAGATTTTGTGTAAAAACTATGATCTTACACTTGAAAACTTTATTATGTGACTATGTTTGGAATCATGGAATAACAACAAGCATTTTATCAAGGTTCCACTGTATCTTCAAGGTCGGATTCAAAGGAGACAGGATGACAGGGAAGACAAGAATTCTTTCACATTTCCTAATGAAAAATTACTGTTCTAGTGACCAGTAATAATCAAGTGGCATGAATAGCTAATTTGCTTGCTAAAGTGCTTTTTACCTGAGAAGAGGGACTTGGCCTACTGACAGAAAAGTGAAAGCTGACAAGGTTGTAAAGTTCAAGGGAAATCTGTTAACATGATAAATCTAGGTAGTTATATTCAGATAATACAACTCAAGTATTATTTAATCTCATGTCATAAAGCACTAAATTCCCCAAGTCCAATTCATGAATACCACATATTTTACAAGGACAGAAAAAGTTCTACAAGCTAGACATTTAAGTGCTAATGTAGTCAAATAAGGTTATAATAATTGTATTTCAAACTGCAACTTTTTTCATATTCTTAACCAGCAAAGAAGATAACTCTAAAAAGGTAGAAAATTGTTTCATTTGAAAATAAAAAAATATATTATAAATTTAAAAATGGCTTTTGTGAAAAAACTTTGATTCACACCAGCATGTTTTACATGTAAAGCAAATTCTCATGAATATTGTATGTCAATTTTGATTGAATGAAGAATTGTTTATTGTAGTTCTTTTAGCTTGCATTAACTACAGAGGTATCTTGTATCAGATTAATTATAGTTTTGCAAGGATATAATTGCATACCAATAGTCACCTACCTTTCTTTCTCTTGCTGATTTCCTTTATCACTTCCATTGTTAATCAAAGCAAGTTCATCTAACAATGATGTAGATTCCTTTGTAAACTTCTCAAAAACCTATGAGTTTTATTAACATATTAAGAACAGTCTTAAAAATTAATATGTAATAAGGACTGTCAGTTAAGAGCAATAGAATTGGCCAGCTAGGATTTGTTTTCCTTCCCCAGTAGTCAGTGCAATTCTACTACCAGAGCACAACAATATATGCAAGAGAAGACAAAACTGTTTCCTAAAGCAATGAATAGTTTCATGGATAAAGAATTTTTTAAATTTAAATACATCAATAAATTATCTTCATTCTCCATTCAGATAAATGTTTGAGAAACATTTGTATTGATAACAGTTGTAACTACATAAATGTAATTCAGAACTTTCTAAGTCTCTATAACAGTTATAGAATGTTTCTTTACGTTATTCTATCACCAACACATGTTGGTTTCATATAATAGTTGTTATATACGTGCATATAGAACTAAAAATTAGTTATAATTTTAATGATTTCTTCAAATATTTCTGAAGTGGAATTTGGGAAGTCTGTTTAAACATAAGTAATAAAGTGGACAATCACTTGTCTGATATCACTTTTTAAATATGGTGGAAATAGGCTGGGTGCTTTGGCTCAGGCCTGTAATCCTAGTATTTTGCAAGGCCGAGGTAGGGGGGTTGCTTGAGCCCAGGAGTTCATGACCAGCCTGGGCAACATAGAGACTCCATCTCTACAAAAAATAAAGCTTTTGTCAGTCAGGCATGGTGACATGCTCTTGCAGTTCCAACTACGTGAGAGGCTGAGGTGGAAGGATTGCTTGAGCCCAGGAGTTCAAGGTTGCAGTGCACTGTGATCACGCCACCGCATTTCAGCCTGGGTGAGAGAGCAAGACCCTGTCTCTAAATAAATAAATTGGGTGGAAACAGAATTAGTTATCCATTCAGATATAAACAAAAATTCACTACTCTCCAATTAAATTAGCATTTAATGTAAAATGAGTTAATATGACGTTTGTTCTTTCAGTAGTTCAATAAAAAAATCAAATTACAGAGTAGAAGATTTCAGAAGTCTAGACCGCCGAAGATGATATATTTTCACAAATGAAAATGCTTAATCTGTCAAACTACTCTTCAAGTTGATAACTCAAATAAATGTTTAAGTACCCTGTGAAAATGGTATAGCAACTAGATCCCCTCATGAAATTATGCTACTGTTATTCTACTTAAAATAGTTACGACTTCTACTAATGCTACTAATGACAGAACAGTAATAGCTAATACTTACATGGTGCTACTATATCATGCCTGCTGCTGTTCTAAATGCTTTATATGTATATTCATTTCACTTTACCCATAATCACACAAAGGTAGGTACTATGATTTTCACTATATTACAAATGTGGAACTCTAGCCCAGGCAAGATTAAACACATTGTTGAATATACCTAGCAACTGGCATCAGGATTCCAATCAAGTAATTCTGACTTCATAGTATTTGTCTATTATGCTATAATGTGGTATGCACATAATTCTGCATTTTTGTAAAAATAAATTTTAATAGAATAAATTGATAGTTATCAAAATGTATCTTATTTATATGCAATAACATTTTATCTCATTGAATATACCAACCAGCCTCTTATTTAACCAGTCCATGTGATCATAGGTAAGACTCCCACCAAAATCTTCTGTTAATTGGCATGGTTCTATATAACGAGTCAATTTGTTGGCAGACACTAAAATAACCTATAAAAAGGGAAAAAGAAAAAAAAATTTTAGTAACCCACTATTAAAGTCCATGAAAGTAATGAGTAGGTAAAATTAGGTTAGAATATGCAATATTGTTTCCAACATGACACATTATCATTTACTTAATACAGTATTTAAAATCAATTTAGTAAGTTATAGATACCTGATAAAAAATAATTCATCAAAACCTTTTTCTAATACCACATTTTTAAAACAACAGGTACCAATAGCTCAGATGAAATATTTTCAAAAATATTTTATTAATATTTCAAAAAAAATCAATTAATACAATTATGTAATAAAGAATTTTCATATCCTCTTAAAAATAGCAAAGGACACTAAAATGATAAGCCCAAGGAAGAGTAAATCTAGCAATTAAAAAGTTATCCATTTTAATGTTTTTCTAATGTTTCTTTGATTACATATGAACAAAACAAGTCCTCCAGTTGTAGAGTATAATTCACACAAATTTATGCCAATATTTAATTTTTAGTAAAAATCAGGAGACTTGAAATGTAAATATTAAAATGCTAATCTTTTAGCTCTAAAGTTAAAAAGATTTCAAATACAAATTAAGTAAGTACCTAAGAGACCACTGCAGAACTAAATAAAATTTCAGTGAAGATACACATGAATATGAAAGAAAATACATCTATGGAAGAAAGATATTCAAACAGTAGTGTTAATACTAAATGATATATGGAAATGTGAATTTATCAAAAATAACTTGATAAGAAAAATAATGTGTCTGGCTGGAAAGAGCATCATTCCCACCCTAACAATAACAAAAGCCATACAATCTCCAAGAGTATAACTTTTTTTGGAACTCCTAAGAAAGCTGAGGTTACAGGGAAACCAACTAGTTCGAAGTTGAAGAAAAGGCAGGCACCATAGAGAGAATGGTGAAAGGGGAAACTACTGAGCGCATGTGTGACATTTTTTGGAACTCTTATGTATCTTGATTATGGCAAAGATTATGTGACTATATGTGTTTGTTGAATCTCATAAAACTATATATATAAGGTATGAATTTTACTTCATGTAAATTATACCTCATAAAACTGACTTAATTTTTTTTTAACTTAAGAGGACTTATGGAAGGACTCAGAAAGAGACAAATAAAACATTTAGAAATAGATGCAATATGTAAAACAAGGTACGCCCGTACTGTATATAAAGTTATAATATAAACAAAAAATAGGGAGAAATTACCAAGACTGCTTTGCTGAAAGATGGAAAATTTCATCCTCAGGACGATAGCAAAAACACAGCATGAAAAACTCATAGAACTATGAACTCTATCAAATTTGAGTGTCCAACAAATTGCTATTTTTAACAACACATTAAATAGAAATTAGTAGTCTTAAATATTTATATTAGGAAACAAAGCCTAGTGAATAATGAGGTAAGTGATCCATCTAAGAAGTTAGAAGGAAAATAAGTCCAAAGAAAATAGAAGAGGTGAAAAATCAGAAATAAATATAAATTATTAGAAGGGCTCAAAAAAGCCAAAACTTATTTCTTTCATTAGAAAAGACTAACGAAAACAACAAACTTCTGATGTGATGAAGCAAGAAAAACAAAGTACAAATAAATAATGGTAACAATGTAAAGGAGAATACAATTAAATTGATAGCAATGGTTTAAAAGATATTAAGGATACAGGACAATTTTGTGCCAATAACTACAAACTTAGAAGACAGACATATTCCTATTAAAAAGTCTGATTTATCAAAACTGACATAAGGAAAAAAAAAAAAAAACAGAACACCTACAACCAATGAAGTGGATCATTAGATTCTTTACATTTTCAGTAACTGTGCCGATAGTGACCGTTTTAGTATTGCCATCCTGCGATAACTTGATGAGGAACAAAGCCAATGAGCAAACTGGGATATTATAATTCTGCCATCCCCAACATCCTTAAGAAAATGGGATTTTTGGCAAGGGAGAAAGGAAGATGTAGGAGAGAACAAGCATCCTTATGGTGTTCATTTTAAATTAGAAGTATCAGTTTAAACTCCACAATGCATTTCATCTCTCTCTCTCTCTCTCTCTCTCTCTCTCACACACACACACACACACACACACACTCACATGTATGTGTATTTTCTAGTTGTGGGAGGTTTGGAAATAATGGCCAATTTTGTAGAAATGTATACTCCTAGCATCCAGATTGTGATTTGCGAGTACCATTTTTCATAAAAAAGAATCAGGTTTTCTTAAAATAGCATTAGTCAAAATAATAATAATAATAATTTAAAAATAAAATAAAAGGAATCAGGGCTCCTTGGAGAAATGGAGAAATACACATGATGAGTGAGCTTGGAACATCTTACCCAGAGATTGAAAAAGCTATCAAAGACTGTTATGGTTATGACAAAAGGATCTGAAAAGGTTTCCACTGGCCAAAGATGTGAGAAGTTACACATCAATAATAACAATAAATGGTACAAATTGAAACATTAAATATGTTTAAATCAATGAGTGCATACTGATATAAAAGAAATAATCACCAATGGACTAGGCTAGAGAACACACTATAATGAAAACCAGACTGGGCACGGTGTCTCATGCCTGTAATCCCAGCACTTTGGGAGACAGAGGCAAGAAGATTACTTGAAACTAGCAGTTTAAGACCAGCCTGGGCAATGTAAGAAAACCCAATCTCTACCACCTCCCCCCTGCTGCCAACAAAAAACAAACAAACAAACAAAACCCAAACAGGTGTGTACTTGTAGTCCCAGCCATTCGGGAAGCTGAAGCAGGGATCTCTTGATTCCAGGAGTTAGGCTGCAGGCAGCTATCATTGCATCACTGCACTCCAGCCTGGGCGACAGAGAACCCCACGAAAGAAAGGAAGGAGAAGGGAGGAAGAGAGAAAGGGAGTGAGGGAAGAGAAACCAGCAAATAAAGAGAAACAAGCTTTTATTTCACCTTTCGTATACAAACTGTATTACTAGATAGAGAAATAATAAGTTTCTCATTATAAAATTATTCCAGCTAGTAAATGAAGGAGGAATAATAGAACTAGATCAACACTTTACAGATTTTAATGAACTAAGAGATCTAGACACTGAACATCACAAAAAAGACAACTATTACAAGTCTCATGATCAAGGAACACATCACTACCCGTGAAGAGCCTTAGAAAAAGAAAAATAAACTCTAAATCTAATCAGTGTCTAAATCCAACTATCAATTTATAAAAACATAGAGGTTCAAGAAGACAGAAGAACACGTAAATTATACCACAGGGATACTTGCTGAAATATACAGACTACTGGAAACTGTATAGGGCAAACAGTCTGGTCTCTTCAAAGAAAAAAAAAAAAAAAACGTACACAAAATCAGCAGTCCGTATTACTGATTTCTAGCTTACTGTAGCCTCTGCCTTACAGGTTCAAGTGATTCTCCTGTCTCAGCCTCCCAAGTAGCTGGGACTATAGGTGCATGCCACCATGCTAAGCTCATTTTTTTTTTTTTTTGTATTTTTAGTAGAGAGGGGGTTTTACTATGTTGGCCAGGCTGGTCTCAAATTCCTGACCTCAAGTGATTCTCCCACCTCAGCCTCCTAAAGGGCTAGGATTACAGGCATGAGCCACTGCACCCAGGCCACAACTCCTTTTTGGGATCCACAAAGAGGTGTTTGCATTAGGGAAATTAAACACAATCAGATCCCAGAGAAGAACTTTTCCTCTCTCCAAAAATGTCAAGCAATATATTAACTAGATATATAACTATATATACTAAGAACGAAACCAAGTAACATGTATATATTCTATGAGGAAATAAATTACTTGTTAAGCTGAGCATGAATTCACATCTGAAAAAATAAAATCCCAGAGCACTCTCCCCTGAAAATGCAGGCCAGACGTGACGGCTCATGTTTGTAATCCCAACACTTTGGGAAACCGAGGTAAGAGGATTGCTTGAGCCCAGGATTTCAAGACTGTAGTGAGCTATGACCATGCCACTGCACTCAAGTCTGGGGAACAGAGTAAGACTCAAAGAAAAGAAAAAGAAAATACAAAATATAAAGATGGTCTTTTTGCTTCTCAATTGAATCTTATTTAACATAATATTCTACTTAAATACTGATGAAAATCTCTCTTTTGAGAAATCCCACTATGATGTCCCTTATTTATTTTTATTTTTTATTTTTCCACAGGTTACTGGGGTACAGTTAGTGTTTAGTTATATGAGTAAGTTCTTTCTTTAGTCGTGATTTGTGAGATTTTGGTGCACTCATTACCCGAGCAGTATATTCTGTACCATATTTGTAGTCTTTTATCCCTTGCTCCCCTCCCACCCTTCCCCTAAGTCCCCAAAGTCCATTGTATCATTCTTATGTCTTTGCATCCTCATAGCTTAGTTCCCACATATCAGTGAGAACATACGATGTTTGGTTTTCTGTTCCTGAATTACTTTACTTAGAACAGTAGTCTCCAATCTCATGCAGGTCACTGCAAATGATGTTAATTTATTCCTGTTTATGGCTGAGTAGTATTCCATCATATATATATATTTCTATATATATCTATATATATATATAGATATACATATATATCTCATACTCCATCATATATTATACATATATATATCTCATACTTCATCATATATATTATATATATCTCATACTCCATCATATATATATTATATATATATCGTACTCCATCATATATATATATGATGATATATATATGAATCATCATATATATATATGAATCATCATATATATATATATGAATCATCATATATATATATATATATGAATCATCATATATATATATATATATAATCATATATATATATATATAT